TTGATACGTTACCTTAGTATTGAATGTTCCAACGGACTGTTTGCATGACATGATACCGTCAAGTTTATATCAGTTTAGATGGATATTTCAGTTAGGACTCCTCTAAAATGTAATGAATGCGCAAGGCCAACTATATTTATTGTCCCGAGTACTCCTTCGCGCGAAGAATATCCTTAATACTGAATAAGTACCTCGAATATCAATAAAGTATCAATTTATAGAGGTGACATTATTTTGAGAGGTTTTATGCGCGCGAAATGCGCCACGACATATCGGCCAGAACGGAGCACTTTCTAATGCCTCGAGGGCGCCCAGTGTCGAAGTATGGCGAGAAGAAGCCACCAAAGAAGTTCAAGTGCTTGTACATAACGTTCCAGAAGAAGAAAGAGGTGATTGATGCCATTGAAAGCATTGGGATGCAAGAGACGCTCAACACGCACTTTACCCACTGGTCGAGGCTGCCCGGGAGACTGCACGAAGGAAAGTGTATGGTTGGATAAAATAACGAGATCATATCATGAAAATGGCCTCTTGCCCACGCACTTCGACCCACATGATCACACGCACGACGGGCACAGGATGACTCTGCCGTCAGAAGTTGAGGAGCAGCTGGCAGGATGGGTCCAAACCATGCGTACCGACGGAGTGCCTGTGACGCCAAAGATGCTTCAGCTCATGGCATTGGAGTAAGCAGTTGACGTTGAGCTTACCGAGTCGGCATTGGATGCGCGGGTTCAAGAAGCGATTCAACTTGTCGACGCGCTGCAGGACCCGCCAAGGTCAGGATACGGCAGGCGAGGGCGAGACGGTGCTTCGTGAGTTCTCCCAACGCGTTCGTGACTTCATGACGGCACTTGGAATTGATGTCGTCTATAACGCCGATCAGACAGCCATCAAATATGAGTACTTACCAACCAGGACAATCAACCAGCGTGGTGAGAGAACCGTGTGGGTGCGGTGCGAAGGCAAGACGAAAGACCGTGCGACCGCAATGGTCATGGGGGACTCTGCTGGCAACAAGTATCCCCTCGTCGTGGTACTGAAGACAGCGCAGTCGAAAGTGAAGGCCGTCGTTCATGAGAACTTGACCATGCGCCATGGTTTCGGAAAGACGGTTTGGCGACAAGTGCAGCCACTGCAAGATGAGATGGGATGTCAGATTCATGGAAATCCAACCGCGTGGTGGAACAGCGGCCTGTCGATTGCCTTCTTACGATTTCACTTCGCCACAAGGCCCGATCGAGAGTCCAAGAAGGTGCTTTGGGATGATTTCTCGGCGCATTTCAGCTCGGACGTTGTCGCCTACGCTCATGAATTAAATGTCGAGTTGATGAATATACCACCGAGATTCATCTGGGTGTGCCAGCCGACTGACGTTTCATGGATCCGGCTTCTGAAGGCACGCTTGCGAACGATGTGGATCGACACCATCAAGCAGCAAGAGGTTGCCAGCTGAGTATGCGGGGGCCCTTTCAAATTGCAGCCGTCTTCTAATCGACATGGAATTCTGAGTTGGATCACAAAGGTTTGGTCTGGCCTGCCTACCAGTGTCATATTGAGTGGCTTTTCAAAGTGCAGACTTGCGGACAGCGTGACGTCGGCCAGTGACGAAGGTGAGTTAATCGTTGAAGACGACACGGTCGACGAGGAAACGATGGCATCCCTCGTTGCAAGCTGCTACATTGATGTCACCATTGATTCAGCCCAAGACATTGGCGAGGATGAATTTTGAATATTATGAACTTCTGTTTTGTATTGTATTTTTGATGAATTTTGAATTTTATAAACTTCTGTTTTTTATTGTATTTTTTTGTTCAAATTTCTCCAGAACTTTATGCATCGTAAATTATATTTCTATTGACAATTGATAATTTTGTGATGTCGTCGTCGGTAGACTTTGACTTGAGATTTTTATATCTAAACTGAATTAAAATAGAATTGACGCAAATGTGATCGGAGAGTCGTCGGGTTGTGTCATATCACCTGTCTAAACTGAAATAAACTAGACGGTATGATTATTGCATTATTTTGCACATGTGTACAGTACATGGCATCCGACATCAAACGGACAAATTTTGACCAGGGGATTGGACGACCGACAATAAAAAGTGCAATGATTGGATGAAAAAAATTGCACAATTGGATTGGGCTCATGAACAAATCATCAATATTGCGCAATAACACGATCAGACTGGAAAAAAATATTGCGGTTTCAACACCATCCTTATCGAACATGCCTCGAAAGCCCTCGGTGACCGCAGCGTCAAAGCAAACGATCGAAGAGTCGTTGAACCACTCCATGCAAATGGCATGCGAGCTCTTGTCTATCAAACGATGGTCCAGTCGTCGCAAATGCGTAATTGGCTGGGCAATAAATACTCACAATGTCTTCACGCTATAGACATTCCTGGACGCCCAAGCCCACGATGCAAGTCATGCCAACGACGGCGTCGCTCGCGAAATACTTGTGGCGGAAGAAGCGGCCCCTGACGCAGGAGGTGTTGCAAGCCTTTGGCAGAGTATTCCTCGTCCGCATAAACCACGTTCTCACGCTCGATGTAGACGCAGCTGAGCCACGACTCCAGTTCAAGCTTGCGATCGACAACTTCGTCGCGTACATCGGCCACGTCCGCTGTGATTGTTATAGATGACTAAATGCAGGTATGCAAAATGATTGGTTGGCCAAATATTTGACGACCAGATTGTCTCAACATTCCCCCCTAATCGTGGCTTTCTGCATTTGTTGATTGTTGCTTGGGGGAGACAATATTGCTCTTGTGTTGCTCGAACTTTGGTTTCGGCAGTGCTTTCGTGAGCATGTCGGCAATCATGTCGTTGGTTGCACAGTATTGGATCTTGATGATGCGTTGCTTGACCAGGTCGCGAATGAAGTGGTGTCGGACGTCAATGTGTTTGGTGCGTTGTTGCAACGTTGGGTTTTCGGCCATCTTGATTGTGCTTTGGTTGTCCTCGTGAACGATGATTGGTAAGTATAAGGGCAATTTGAGTTCTTCTAGGAGAGACTTCAGCCAGAGAGCTTCTTGGAGACCGTATGCCATTGAGATGTATTCAGCTTCTGACGTGGATAGAGCAACGATGTTTTGGAGCTTTGACTTCCAGCTGATAAGGCAGCTGTTGAGGTACAGTAGAAAGCCGGAGGTTGAACGTCTTGTTTGAGAGTCGTTCGCGTAGTCAGCATCAACAAAAAGTTCAATTTGGAACGTTTTGGCATTGGACTTTGTGTAAATTAATCCATCATCTTTGGAGCCCTTGAGATAACGTAAAACGCGTTTTGCCATTCGAGTGTGTTCAGGGCGTGGGTCGTTTAGGTGTCTTGAGAGCAATGTTACTGTATATGCGATATCTGGCCTTGTAGTCGTGGACAGGTAGAGTAGTTCGCCCACCACATTGCGGAAAGGCAACTCAGGTGGCGAGTCGGAAGGACCAAGGGATTTGAGTGACAGAGTGCATTCTTGGGGAGTCGAGGTTGCATTGCAATCTGAGAGACCATGCTTTGCGAGAATGTCCGAG